GAGGATGGGTTCAGGGAGTAATGGAGGAGTGGGTTCAGGGATGGTGGATGGGTCCAGGGATGGATGATGGGTTCAGGGATGAGGATGGGTTCAGGGATGGAGGATGGGTTTTCAGGGATGGGGGATGGAGTTCAGGGATGGAGGATGAGTTCAGGGATGGAGGATGGTTCAGGATGGAGGATGGGTTCAGGGATGGGAGGTGGTTCAGGAGGATGATGGTTCAGGGATGGAGGATGGGTTCAGGGATGGATGATGGGTTCAGGGATGGGGATGGTTCAGGGATGGAGGATGGTTCAGGGATGGAGATGGGTCCAGGTGATGGGTGGATTCAGGGATGGATGATGGTTCAGGGATGGAGGATGGTAGGATGGAGATGGGTCAGGGATGGATGATGGGTTCAGGTGATGGTGGATGGGTCCAGGGATGGAATTGATGGGTTTCAGGGATGGAGGATGGGTTTCAGGATGGAGGATGGTTCAGGGATGGAGGATGGGTTCAGGGATGGTGGATGGGTCCAGGATGGATGATGGGTTCAGGATGGAGGATGGGTTCAGGGATGGAGGATGGGTTCAGGATGGAGGATGGGTTCAGGATGTGGATGGGTTCAGGGATGGTGGATGGGTTCAGGATGGATGATGGGTTTCAGGGATGGTGGAGGGGTTCAGTGAAGGAGAATGATGGGTTCAGGGATGGAGGATGGGTTCAGGGATGGGTAATGGTTCAGGGATGGTGGATGGGTTCAGGGATGGAGTGATGGGTTCAGGGATGGAGGATGGGTTCAGGGATGGGGATGGGTCCAGGAATGGATGATGGGTTCAGGGATGGAGGATGGGTTCAGGGATGGAGGATGGGTTCAGGGATGGTGGATGGGTCCAGGGATGGATGATGGGTTCAGGGATGGAGGATGGGTTCAGGGATGGAGGAGGGGTTTTCAGGGAGGGAGGATGGAGGGATGGTGATGGCCCCAGGGATGGATGATGGGTTCAGGGATGGAGGATGGGTTCAGGGATGGAGGATGGGTTCAGGGATGGAGGATGGGTTCAGGGATGGAGGATGGGTTCAGGGATGGAGATGGGTTCAGGGATGGAGGATGGGTTCAGGGATGGAGGATGGGTTCAGGGATGGTGGATGGGTCCAGGAATGGATGATGGGTTCAGGGATGGAGGATGGGTTCAGGGATAATGGTAGGAGGGTGGTCCAGGATGGATGATGGTTCAGGGATGGAGGATGGTTTTCAGGGATGGAGGATGGGTTCAGGATGGTGGATGGATCCAGGGATGGAGGGATGGGTTCAGGGGATGGAGGATGGGTCAGGGATGAGATGGGTTCAGGGATGGAGGAGGGGTTCAGGGATGGAGGATGGGTGCAGGGAGGGAGGATGGGTTCAGGGATGGATGATGGTTCAGGGAATGGGCAGGATGGGATGGTTCAGGATGGAGGATGGGTTCAGGGATGGAGGATGGGTTCAGGGATGGAGGATGGGTTCAGGATGGAAGGGATGGGTTTCAGGATGGAGGATGGGTTCAGGGATGGAGATGGGTTCAGGGATGGAGGATGGTTCAGGGATGAGGATGGGTTCAGGAAATGGAGGGATGGGTTCAGGGATGGAGGATGGGTCCAGGAATGGATGATGGTTCAGGGATGGAGGATGGTTCGGGGATGGAGGAGGGTTCAGGGATGGTGGATGGATCCAGGGAATGGATGATGTTCAGGGATGGAGGATGGGTTCAGGGTTTGAGGATGGGTTCAGGGATGGAAGGATGGGTTTCAGGGATGGAGGATGGGTCAGGGATGGAGGATGGGTTCAGGGATGGAGGATGGGTTCAGGATGGTGATGGGTCAGGATGGATGATGGGTTCAGGATGGAGGATGGGTTCAGGGATGGTGGATGGGTCCAGGATGGATGATTGGTTCGGGGATGGAGGATGGGTTCAGGATGGAGGATGGTTCAGGGATGGAGGATGGGTTCAGGGATGGAGGATGGGTTTCAGGGATGGTGGATGGGTTCAGGATGGAGATGGGTTCAGGGATGGAGGATGGGTTCAGGAGGGAGGATGGGTCCAGGGATGGAGGATGGGTTTCAGGGATGGGGATGGGTTCCCGGGGATGATGATGGTTCAGGGATGGAGGATGGGTTCAGGGATGGAGGATAGGGGTTTTCAGGGATGGAGGATGGTTCAGGATGGAGTGGGTTCAGGGATGGAGATGGGTTCAGGGATGGAGGATGGGTTCAGGGATGGAGGATGGGTTCAGGGATGGAGGATGGGTTTCAGGATGGGGATGGGTCAGGGATGAGTGGATGGGTTCGGGGATGGGATGGTTCAGGAATGGATGGGTTCAGGGTTGGAGGATGGGTTCAGGGTTCAGGGATGGAGGATGGGTTCAGGGATGGAGGATGGGTTCAGGGATGGTGGATGGGTCCAGGAATGGATGATGGGTTCGGGGTTGGAGGATGAATGGGTTCAGGGATGGAGGATGGGTCCAGGAATGAATGATGGGTCCAGATGATAGTGAATAGGTCCATGGATGGTGGATGGCTCCAGGAATGGATGATGGGTCCAGGAATGGATGATGTGTCCAGGTGATAGTGGATGGATCCAGGTGATAGTGGATGGGCCCAGGGATAGGGGATGGGTCCGGGATAGTGGATGGGTCCAGGTGATGTGGATGGATTCCAGGGTGATAGTGGATGGGTCCAGGTGATAGTGGATGGGTTCAGGTGAAGGGGAAATGGGTCCAGGTGGTATGGATGGGTCCAGGTATAGTGGATGGTCCGGGTGATAGTGGATGATCCAGGGATGTGGATGGATTCCAGGTGATAGTGGATGGGTCCAGGAGATAGTGGATGGATCCAGGTGATAGTGGATGGATCCAGGTGATAGTGGATGGGTCCAGGTGATAGTGGATGGGTCCAGGTGATAGTGGATGGGTCCAGGTGATAGTGGATGGATCCAGGTGATAGTGGTTTGGATCCAGTGAAGTGGGTCCAGTGATAGTGGATGGATCCAGGTGATAGGGGATGGATCCAGGTGATAGTGGATGGGTCCAGGTGATAGTGGATGGATCCAGGTGATAGTGGATGGATCCAGGTGATAGTGGATAGATCCAGGTGATAGTGATGGATCCAGGTGATAGTGGAATGGGTCCAGGTGATAGTGGATGGATCCAGGTGATAGTGGATGGATCCAGGTGATAGTGGATGGGTCCAGGTGATAGTGGATGGGTCCAGGTGATAGTGGATGGGTCCAGGTGATAGTGGATGGGTCCAGGTGATAGTGGATGGGTCCAGGTGATAGTGGATGGGTCCAGGTGATAGTGGATGGATCCAGGTGATAGTGGATGGATCCAGGTGATAGTGGATGGGTCCAGGTGATAGTGGATGGGTCCAGGTGATAGTGGATGGGTCCAGGGATGGAGGATGGGTCCTGAGGTGGTGGATGAGTCTAGGGATGGAGGATGGCTATGTATTAATCACCAGCCTACCTAACAAGCTGGGCTGTAGAGTCGGAGTCAGTAAAAATTTAGCAACTCACCCCCCTAATAAATTTAAATTGCATAGAATATAAATTAAACAATACTTTAGTATATAAAAGTTAAGATTATGTACCTGAGTTCATTTCTTTTACAATGGTTATTTATTGTGTTCAATTGTTGACTTTTTTGTAGTTTTAACTTTGAATTCTTAGTAATACCAAAGGCTGTACTTCAGATTTTGTAACTGCTAGAGAAAGATGTTTCTGACCCAGATTTTCTATTATATTTCTTGTACTTTATACTTAATAGTCTTTTTTTTTTTTAAATATAACCTTCGTTGTTTCTATTGTTCAAGTTTTGTCCTTTGTTTAACTACAGAGTTACTGAATGTTTGTAATTTCTTTAATAAATAATAAAAAAAAGCCAGAATGGCATAGCTGTAACATTGAGACCAACGCTTGAACAGGTTACTGAGCTTGCAATCCATATATTAAATAGTATATAATTAGTGTATTTATAATTTATTCCCTATATGGATATATTAAAGGAATCGAAGTTGAAGGTTTTATGTGCTGACTCCACAACCCTAAGACAAGGGTTACCGATGCTGACCCTCAGTTCAAATGCCTGCTTACCCACGAGGCATACCAGCAGCCGCCATAGCTAATCACAATTAAGACGAAGCCAGCAGAGTAGATAGATTACAGAGGATACTGGCAGACTGCAGACTTAAACACCAGTAGAAGAGAAAGAGCAGATGTGGCTTCACTACACCAGGTGGACACACCAGGTGGAAGTCACACCAGGTGGACACACCAGGTGGAAGTCACACCAGGTGGACACACCAGGTGGAAGTCATACCAGGGGGACACACTAAGTGGACACACCAAGTAGAAGACATGCCAGGTGGAAGTCACACTAGGTGAACACACCGGGTGGACACACCAGGTGAAGGACACACCAGGTGGAAGTCACACCAGGTGGAGGACACACTAGGTGGAAGTCACACTAGGTTAAAATCACACTAGGTGGACACACCAAGTGGAAGACACACCAGGTGGACACACTAGGTGGAAGTCACACCAGGCGGACACACCAAGTGGAAGACACACCAGGTGGACACACCAAGTGGAAGACACACCAGGTGGAGGACACACCAGGTAGAAGTCGCACCAGGCGGACACACTAGGTGCGCACGCCAGGTGGAGGACACCGGGTGGAGAACACACCAGGTGGAAGATACACCGGATGGAAGTCACACCAAGTGGAAGATACACCAAGTGGAAGTCACATCAGGTGGAAGTCGCACCAACCGGAAGTCACATCAGGTGGAAGTCACACCAAGTGGAAGACACATCAGGTAGAGGACACACGGATGGAAGTCGCACCAAGCGGAAGACACACTAGGTGGAAAACGCACCAGGTGGAAGACACAAGATGGAGGACACACCGGGTGGAAGATACATCAGGTGGAAGACTTAATTAAGCAATAAAAAATCTTTAGGAAAATTTAAAAAATACTCCAGTTATAATGAAATTTTTATTGTAAGTTAAGAAGGTGGTCGAACGTCTATGCTAGAAGCTCCATGAAGTTCACCTAAAAATAGAGATGGGAAATTAAATACCAGTTTTTTATATGGCAGTCTAGTATCTTTTTTCGCAATTTTGTTAAGACTTAAAATATTATAGTTGACATAAACAATAAATTTAAAAAAAAAAAATTACCAGTGGGAAGTGAACATGTCATTATACTGTATTTAAAAAGATATTAAATTTTATTTTTGAGGGGAAGAAATAAAAACAAACGGTAAAAGCTATTTCAAACTGCAGTGGTAATTTTGTAAAACTTTCATGTCTCAATATAACTGAGGAGTTACTAGGAGAAGAATAACTTAGAGAAAAAATGATAAAAGACACAGATGTGATTCATGGCCACGACGATACGTCATTATTGGCCCTAAAAAAAATGTAATTTGCGATAAAAATTGATGACTATTATTCTATCATTGGAGTATATGCATAACAACAGTATCAAACAACTGATGGTAGTTAGATAATTACTTACCATTTACAAAGGTTTTTTGAAGGCGTAAACTCTGTAATAACCACCAGGCTCACGAAATACAGCAGCGCTGTATAGCCCTTGTGGCTTAGCGCTTCTTTTTTATTTTAATAATAATAATAATCACTAAATACATTTCAGTTTCTTTTATTTGTCCCGCCTACCACTGTTTTTTTGCATTAGTTCGTCCAATTTTCGCAGTTTCTGTTGTGTTACTCTACTGCGTTTGAGGCCAAATGAGGTGTCCAGGCACGTATTTTCATAACCACTATTATATTCACTAATAGCATGTGCAGCAGCAAAGTCTAGATCACGTTTGAATTTGTATTTTGTCTTGGGACAATAAGACGAGATGCGCTGGTGCAGGCTTTCATTTGGGTTTTGGCCTCGTACTTTCAGACACCGCTGCATCTTGTCTTTACTGGTTAGCTCATGGTATATTTGCTTGACAGCAGCCTCGTTCTCTGGTTCTAGTCTAAGTCTGGCTTTCATTGTGTTATGGGAAGGTGGCTTAGTGTTCGTTGCGTTTGCTCTCTGATAGAAACACCATGAGTTAGCTCCTTTAGGGCAAAGGTGATGCTGTGGTCTGTTGTCAGTGGAACAGCAGTGATAGAGGCTTGATAATATAACATTCTTCATTTTTTCTTCATTAGTATTTATATTTTGCCTGATATCATGACTAAAGTAAGAGGCAAGCTTTTCTATTGTTACATCAGTTAATAGGTCCTTTCCTCTTAATGAAGACTGTTTTCTTGACTCGCCACTTTCCCGCAATTTCTCACTATAAATATTTTTTGCAAGTTGTTGCAAGCGGATTTTCAGTCTTTTGGAATAATAATCGATGCATTCTTCTTTTCTAACTAACATGTCAGGGTAAGGTCCTTCCCCATTGTTCATGCTTCGGAGACCTGCGAGCGTTTCAGTGTCATCACTATCGCTCACAATCACCTCAAACTGCATATCGTATTCAACAGATCGTGGCCAGATTATTTTTGCAGCCTCTACCTCCATACTGCAGGAAGTACCACTGTAGTTTTTCGAACACTTCGGTCTGTGGGGGGGTTATTTTTATTTAAAATTTTTTAAAATTTTAAGGGGGTAATACTAATGGCGGAAAGCAGCTTAGTCCTTGTATTAAAAGGGTTTTAAAAAGGGAATAAAAATTTATAGGGGATAAGTTTTTTTTATTGTGGTAGAAGTTTTTTTTGAAAATTGGAATTTTCCGGTTTGGTTGGTAACAACGGTTTTGAGGAAGGGGTTTTACAGTTTTCATAAACAAAAGTGACATAATTAGAAGCCAAAGGGGTCTTTTTTTGGTTTTTTGGGTTTGGAAAAGGCGAAGGGCGGTGGAAGGTTAAATTTGGGTTTCCCGTGTATTTGAGAGGATGGGTTTACTGAAGCATAAGGTTTTTTCGTGGAAAGGGGCCTCGTTTGGGTTGGGTAAGGGGAATTTTTTAGTAAAGTGGCTTAGCGTTTGATGTCGGGGTTTGTTTAAAAAATTTAGTTTGTAGGAAAGTATGCGGGGTTTTTGGCAGGACGATTTAAAAGTTAAAATACAAAAAAATATTTTTCACAGTTTTTTTGCTAATAACAAAGTAAGGGAAGTTCTAATAAAGTTTGGTTTTTTTATGAAGGGTTTTTGTGCAAAGAAAAAAATTTTACAGAATAAGTTTTTGAAGGTAAAAAGATTTAGGTTAAGATAATAACAATGAAATTTTTTAGATAACTATTCAGTTTTTGGGGATCCTGCGTTGGGGGTGCGAGCGTTTCAGGATCCTATGAAATATGAATCTAAATTAGAGGAAAAAGATGTGGCACTTATCTTTGGAACAAAAATTTTGTCCTTGAGGAAAAAGGGGGGAAGGTTGGGAAGTTGTTTTTCCAAGCTCTATTTTGTAATTTTTTAATAATTTTTCAAAGGGGGCTACGGGAAGAAAATTTCCCGACCAATGAAGGTTTGATTAGCAAAATTATTTTGAATGTTGGAAGGAGTGCGGATTAAATGTTGTCCAGACTAGGAAGGTGTTGGGGGTTTCGGCATTTGATAACAACAGAAATAAATTTTATAGCCGTTAAAACCGGGTTGGCCCCTGGAATTGGGAGTAAGATTTGTGCTAGGGTTTGGACCCAGATAAGGAATCTGTTGATGTTTGAAGAGGAATGGAAAAAAAGGGTTTTTAATTAAACTGTGTTAGTTAGAAAGTAACCATTTATAGGGTTTTGGGGAAAACCCCACACCCTCAAACGGGGAAGTACAAATTTTCACGGGAGGGGTTTTAATGCTTTAAAACCTTTATAAACACCTTTGGACAAGACATATAGTAATTGTGAATATTTTTCATTTTTCGCCACCTCCGTTGGAATTCCCTTGAAAATAATTTTATTAATAATTTTTTTTTGTATTTATTATTTTTCCCAGGGATCCAAACGCAGGGTTGGCCCGAAAATGAAAGAACTTTAACCATATACATGAATGGTGCCAGAAGGGCCAACGGTTTTAAACGCAATTTTTTCAGATTTCAGGCAGTAACCCAATTCTCAGACCAAAACCCGCCTCCGTTTCCCAAAAACCCAAAATGTTTTCTTTTTAACTCCATCTGCTTTTGGTTAAAAAATTTCCCTTTCCCTATCAAACCGAAGATCGCGGGAAAGGGAAGTCTGGAACAAAGAAGTTGATCCCTTCCCTTTCCACCGACCCTACCCGCCCTTTCCCTTCCTCTCGCTTAAAAAATGAATCCCCCCTTTGCTCCTTCCTCTCCCTGTCAACACCCTTTCCCTTCTTCCCTTACTACCTTTTTTGGAAATTTCCGATCCATATAATCCAAATAAAAAGGGCAAATCACACCCCCAATTCCCTTCAGAAGGGCTCCTCATTTAGATTCCTCGTGCAATTTTCAAACCATTTAAAAAAAAAAAACGTAAAAACTATACCCAATACATTCCCCTCCCTCATGGAAAGTTTTTTGTTAAAAAATTTTAAAGGGAAAAAATTATTTTTTACAAAAATTATAAAAAAAAAAATTTAAGAAAAAATCCTTTGTTTGTTGGGAAAACAGCCACACAAACCTTATATATATAATTTTTAATTATTTTTAATATTAATAATTTACTTATTATTAAATACATTAATTTAAACCATGTATAGTCGTGCCGAATATGTAAAACTGGTAAATTAGCAAGAACTCATTTAAAATTAAGTCCTTTCAAAAAATTTTCCTTATACGTTTAAAGATATATTTTTTTTCATTAATGTTAATGTAAAAAAATTAAAATTTTTCTCCAAAAAAATCTTTGAAAACTTACCTAACCTTATTATAACAAGAACAATTTATTTTAGCATAACCCAAAAAATATTTTTTATATTTTTTTTACAATAATTTAATACTAAACAAACACAGTGAAATATCGTATTTTTTTTTGTTAGGTTCGAATGATTTTGGGAAATTATTACATCACAAATTTTCGCTTGTCTATATGGAAGATGAGCGTTGCTATTTAAAGCCAAGGTCGCAAGTTCTTTGTTAGGTTAGACACATATGCAACAGTTAGGTATCTTTTTACGAACGTTTCCCACACAGTAGTTTTCGTCGAGTCAAAAATTGATAAAAACAAAAATTAAGAATTAATCAGTCCTCACTAAAGTTGGGTTTTCAGTCCCTTAGTATCAGAAAACACCTTTTGCACGCTTTTTTTTCCCCGCCAGCCGCCGGGCCCCCCCCCCCTATTTCACGTGGGCCCATTTTTACTTCTTAGGGAGTGATTTTTTCTTGTAGATTCGGGCCATTTCAGGAGTTAAAGTTGTAATTATGAATTATCTTCCATCCCGGTTAACATACAAGATAAGCTTCAAGCGTTCCATTAGTAAGGTGTTAAAGAAAATTTACATGCATGTAAAGGATCTCTGACATCTCAGATGCAATTCACCTGCCTTAAGAGATGTTAATGTACGCAGTATTCCAGGGTAAAGACGTGTTTTAAAGGATCACTTGGCGGCTCTCTGTTTTGAACGTCTCATTAACCTCTTCATCTTTGCATTAATCGGCACTTGTGATCCTTTAAATTAGATCCCCGTAAACCCTCCTTTTCCGTAACGGTAGTTGGAATTGTTCATTGAACCTGGCCAAGAATCAGGTCAAGTTACTACTGTTTTAGAGGGTGGCATGGTGGGAAACTTCCGCTTTACCTTTTGGGGGGCGGGGGATTCGGGCTGGGGGAACATTTCGACACGTTTTACACCTGGTCTGTTAACTACGCAAATAGGGACTTTTGTGACCTGCGATGTGGTCCATTGGGGGGAAGCAAATTAGACCCAATGAAATAATTAGACAGTTTGATGGGAGACTTCTTGTTATCGGGTGGCAACCTCGGAGAAAACCACGAAATTTACTTACTACTTGCCTAGCTATTAGTTTAAAATCCAAGTCACCTACGATCCAAGTTTGTCAGGCCATCCCTCTGACCAAAAAGTCAAGTCCAAGTATACTGACCAAGCTAATCAGGTTTAATCAAGCAATACGCTAAAAATCGGTTCAAGTCACTACTGCCTAAGTTCAGTTCAATTACCTACTGACCCAATTTCGTTGAAATTACTTTGTCAATAGTTCACCTGTGAAATAACCTAGGTTTTCAACTTATCCTAAAATAACAACGTTCTAACTCGTGACATGCAAGTGACGGTTCCCATTTTCTACCCTCGCTGCCTGACCTCAGACTAGGCTTCTCTGTTGACCATTGGTCACCCACGGGATCTTTTACATCAAGCTAGCGACCATAGTAATCACAGACCGGCTCGGTCTGAGAGTCGGGGCCAGGAGCTGTAACTCGACCCCTGCAACCACATGTAGATGAGTACAATGTCCTGGTGAATAATATACCTGCTTGCGAGTAGCACTTGTATTAGTGGACGGAGAATCGAGAGTGCACCACTCGACGCGTCAGGTGCTAAACCCATGAGTCACTCAACTCATGGGTTTAGCACTTTACGTAAATATAATACTTTTGACAACAATTTAAGGTGATTTTTAACATGTTAGTTGTGCTTGGTGTGATATTCTGTGTTGTGTGTTATAATGTTTGTTTTTTATATGTTTGTTAAATATTACCTTGGTTATTATGATGTATGTTGTATCTATCCTTGGTAAATGATCCAAATTGGACCGAAACGTCGCCGTAAGTTTAATTCTACTATGTGCGGGTTATTTGTGTATTGTTCCAGTCACTTTATTGTGAGTTTCTTCTTTATTTTATAATCATACGGACGTAGCACTTTCCCCATGGACATAAATGCTCACAGATGGTTAATATTGCATGCGAATAATAAATGTACTAAATTTAAATATTTTATTTTCACAGTACTTATGATGGTATTAACATGACTCACAAATCGTAATGACACGATTGCAAACAAACCATACCCCTGGTCTAGTGGCTAACGCGACGGGCTGGAGTTTTGAGACTCTATGACCGCGGGTTCAATCCCGGCCGGGGTATGGTTTGGTTTCTTATGATGGTATTATTTGTGTTGTTAGCTTAAAGGAAAATAAAATTGCGATTGGTCGCGTACCTATGGTAAAAATGATCAGATTTCAGTATGTTTGTTTGTTTTATTCCAGAGACTGATGAGCCTGAATATGTTTGCAACACCTGAGTACCTGGCTCACCAACACCTGCAGCTGACCCTCAAAACCTGCAGCTGACGCCCAACCCTTGCAGCTGACCCCTACACCTGTAGCTAACCCTCTGCCCCCAACATCTGCTCCTAGCTTTCCTACACTTGCTGCTCATCCACCTTTTTTCCTTAGCTCATTGTCTCTCAGCTTCACGATATTTGTTAAAGAAAAAAACTGGCTCGCACAGCTAGTGATCCTTTCCCCCACTGTCTGTACTCCACCTGTGCTCCACTTCCGCACAGGTAGTGGTTCTTTCCTCCAGGTTCTGTGCTTCACCTCTCTACAACACCTGATAAGTTCCCCACAACGTGTCACCATGACAGTCACTTACACTTCGGAGGTGGCTGACTGCCGTGGGTTTGGTAACTTCTGGAGACTATTGTTCAGGTATGTCCAGTCAAAATTATTACTTCATATGGTTGTATTTTGAAAAAATGCTTTAGTGGTATGTATTCATCTGTCAGTTGCAATCTTTGTTGACATGTAATGGGACAGTGAGAGTGTTCGGCCCGCGACTGAAAGCACCTGGTTCAGTCCCGGGTGGTGTGAGATGTATAGACAAGTCTTTAATTAATAACGTCTGTAAATAGTTCATTGCCACTGTAACTTGTTCAGCTGGGCCAATTATGTTCCTCTGTAATCTTTTGACTACTACCCACAGTATGTGTATGGGGTGCATAATAAGGATATTTAACTAATCATTGTTCATCTACTAATAGATGGATACCCACGAGTTAGTCGGCTGTTGTAGATCACATTCTAGGGAAATATCAAAATTAAATTATTCGTAAAACCAAAATTTAGCTTGTTATTCTGTCGTTGAGAATGAATCTAAATTGCAAGGATACGGAGGGGACTCTGGACACGAGGGTGGAAGAGGGAGAGGCTGAGTCCGTCTTCCCCTCTGTCGTCTCCCGATACATATCCTTCGACTGGGAGGTCATCAAGGAGATCCTGGTATCGGGCAGGGACCTGGGGCAGCTGCTCCTGGGAGAGGTGGAGGAGAGGTTAGTGATGGGACCTCCAGTGAGCGTATATGCTTTTCTCTGCACCCTGATGAACCTGCGCTGTCCCTCCAGTTTGAACACCGCCTTCTATTGGATGTTCGTCAATTACATCAAGTTCTCCGCTAATTACTACTGGGTTTGCTTGTCGATGGCCATAATCATGACGATCTTCAACCTATCTTTGGGTGCCACAATGGTGGCAGGAGGTCTTCTCCTGCTGTGTGGCTTCCTTAAGCTACAGGACTGGCACCTAGGTGAACATCTCATCACCACCGTAGGCCAAAGACTGTACATCCTCCACGCAGCTCTCTTTATCTCGGGGGTGGAGAAGGAGTTCCTTCTCTCCGTGTTTAAGGCCACATCTCTCGTCCTCCTACACATGGTGTTCCATAATCCCACTCTGGAGCCTCAGCGTCTCTATATTCCCATTCTCGACCTATTGCCAAGGTGTTCCTGGTATCATTGATCCACTGTTTCTTTTAGAGAACATTATTTGGAGCCTTTCCGGGTCCAGACATGTTCTGCACCTTTGTCGGAGGCCGTAGGTTCGAACCTGTAGCGTGTTTGACAACAACGGTCCGTTTATGCGGTTCCTGCCACTTGAATTAAAATACTTTTGGTTAAAAAACTTGAATTTTAATTGTGCCTAATATTTTAGACATCAATAAACCTTTCATATGTTACGGGGAAGCGCTAAACTCCCAAGGGTTTAGCACTCCCCGTGAATAGTGTTTACAATTATTGTTAAATTAATGGGGAAGCGTTAAACCTGTAAGTTAATACAGCCTTGTGGGAATGAGAAGTTGATTGCAATCATGTGTGAAAGTAGACAAGGGAGGGCAGCTCAGCTTCCTTGTATCAAGAGCCCTCGAGCAGCTTGAAGGGTACCAAGTGGAAGGTTATAATTGAATGATGACGTCATCACTCACGTCGTCTATAATGCATATTTACCATACACATTGTTATTTTGGTTAATCATAATTAAAAACCTGTAGGCTCCATAGCTGTTTAGCGCTTCCCCTTAAATAATAATAATTAATATTATTTAACGCTTAGTCTTGGTTGTATATTATTATTATTATTAACGTAACGTAGGTTGTATATTATTATTATTATTATTATTCTTAAGGTAAGGCCTAGGGAGGAGTACGAAGTACTCAGTACGGAGTACACAGTACGAAAATTTATTTGGTATACCCAGCCCTAGAGAAACCGAATAGGGAACTATGTTGTTAGGTAAGACACATATGCAACAGTTAGACAACTTTATTCCGAAACGTTTCGCCTACACAGTAGGCCTATTGTGTAGGCGAAACGTTTCGGAATAAAGTTGTCTAACTGTTGCATATGTGTCTTACCTAACAACCTGTCGGTATTGTATACCATTTTGATGTTCAGGGAACTATGTTGTTTTCTGTTTGGTAGACCAAACAGTGGCGCTGCTAATGAGACCTCTCTGGAAAATTTATTTTTTTTATACACTTCCCTTGAGAAACCGAATATGGTCTTGTGTTATCCTCACAGTCTCTTCCATACACAGTTATAATATTTTCTGTAAGTGAAAGTAACTGTCAGTTCCATTCCAGCGCTGTATACCCCTTGTGGCTTAGCGCTTCTTTTTGATTATAATAATAATAATAATAATCAATTCTCCCAGATAACACAGGAAAGAATGCTTAATATTTTGCATATATTAGAACCACAATGGAAATAAGTCTGACTTTTTTGGGGGGTTATTCTAGGTAATTTACACTGTGTATGATAATTGTACTTGTGCGTACCTGTACCTAAATGAACTTATCTGGTATCTTAGTGTTTATACGAGAAATATCCTTGTAACTGCCACAAGTAATTGATTTAATTTGATCTGTGTGGCTTCCCAACATATGGTTTAGGTTTGGTTGTCCTCTTTCCATAAATAATAACAAGAGGCCTGGTCTCAGACCGGGCCGCGGGGGCGTTGACCCCCGAAATCCTCTCCAGGTATACGTTATAACATACCACCAAGGAAAATATAACGAAGTATGGTAAAAATAATCTACCGTGGGAGCAAAAAGCGGTCAGCCACTGACCATGGTAGACATTACTGTACGATTTTCACTGTTTAGGGGACTTTATCAGTCAGCCGCTTGACTGTCTTTACAGTAGTGAAATGATGTATGTGATTAAGTGGGACGAGCTGAGGGTGGCTCCTCGGGAAGTAAATATAACAGTGGTATCCCGTACCTCGGTTAGTAGGGCTCTCAGCTCACAGTGAGGTCCGTGGTTCGATCTCCGGTACGGGTGGAAACAGTGGGCGTTTTTCCTTAAGACATCTACTGTCCCTGTTCACCTAACATCAAGTAGGTACTTGGTGTTAATCAGCTGGTGTGGGTCGCATCCAGGAGACAAAATTAACCTAATTTGCCCGAAATGTTCTGCATAACAAGGGCCTTTCTGTATAGTATGTCATTGATATCATCTAGGGCTATTTACGTTGTACATGTAATTTAAAAAAATTATTATTGTTATTATTAATTATTATTATTCCACTCGACTGCCAAGGCACTAGCGACCACGCTTTCGGCTAGATGACGGAGGGTCGAGCCTCTTATGTCTAGTTGCATTAAATGATCCATACTGGTTTAACATTTCACGAGAAAGAAAGATATACAATTTTAAGGGACATTATTTCGTGTCCTCATTCTCAGATCCCTCATTACTTCATAATAATAATAATAATAATAATAATAATAATAATAATAATAAATAATTTACTACCAGTACATGTACAAGGTATACAGACCATAGCTGATATAAATAACAAAAAGGCACAATACCGTGACTGGAACGATACACAAATAACCCGCACATAAAAGACAGAAGCTTACGACGACGTTTCGGTCCGACTTGGCCCCATTGACAAAGTCACACTAACAGAGGAGGAGCGGGACGGCTATATATAGCAGGAAGAGGTGGGGTAGTAGTAGTGGTAGTAGTAGTGGAAAGTAGTAGTAGTAGTAGTAGTACAAGAATTGTATATAATACCGACAGGATGAAATGACACATGCACAACACCCGGGCATCCCCACCCCTAGACGTTTCGCCATCCAGCCCGCCACTGGATGGCGAAAAAGTCCACAACAAAGACAACCAGACGCCGCACATGTGCCTAATTTCATCAGTAGATGTAGTAGAAGAAGAAGAGGTAGTAGTAGTGGTAGTGGTAGAGTGGGAAAATAAGGAAGACGAGCCAGTCAATACAAAGGAAGGGGAGCACTGCAAGAGAGCTAGAAACCCACAGAGGGAGAGCAAGCGCACCGAGGTGCGTGAAAGGGGAAAATGGTGAAATAAAATAAAGAAGGAAAAAAACACGAAAACAGGAGAGAGAAAGACAACCCAGAGGAGAAAAAGGGGAGAGGAAAGGGGAAGAGGAAGAAGAAAAAGAAGAAGAAGAAGAAAAAAAAAAAAATGAGGATTCAGGTTAAGTCACGGGAGTTCTGAAGTTTGGGGCATTTTACAATGTAGTGGGAGAGGAAGGCATCTACAGAGACGAAGCCAGGGCTAAGGTTCATACAAGGAAAGTTGTGTAAAAAGAGAGGGTTCAACTAAACGGCGACTGTTCGAGTTGGAAGTAGGGAAGACAGTTTTTGCAGAAGACCAAATCAAAAGGATGGCTATGATCTCTGACGTGACAGAAAAGAGCATTGTTAGTGTCGGGAAGCCTAACACTATTTTTGTGCTCCCCAATCTGTCAGAAAGAGATCGGGCCAGTTTCTCCAAGTATTGAAGAGGACAGGAGGAGCAAGAAATAGAGTAGACACCAGGGACATCTGTAGAGGGAGGAGAGGTATGAACGAGATTAGTGCGAAGAGTGTTAGTCTGGCGGAAGGTAAGCTTGATGTCTAAGGGACGGAGAGAATTGTTGAGATTAGAAAGACCGGAAATGTAGGGAAGGCAGAGGATAGAAGAGTTCCCATGAGTAGAGAGTTTGGGAGAGAAGAAATTGCGTTTAGCACGTGAGAGGGCAGAGTCTATGAAATGGGAAGGGTAGCCAAGACGGGAGAACGAATTAGAATTCTCGAAACGTCTACGGTGGGGATGCCCGGGTGTTGTGCATGTGTCATTTCATCCTGTCGGTATTATATACAATTCTTGTACTACTACTACTACTACTACTACCACTACTACTACCACTACTACTACCTCCACCTCTTCCTGCCTATATATAGCCGTCCTGCTCCTCCTCTGTTAGTGTGACATTGTAATAGGTCCTAGTCGACGAAACGTCGTCGTAAGCTTCTGTCTTTTATGTGCGGGTTATTTGTGCATAGCTGATATCAATGACATACTACTATATAGAAAGACCCTTGTTATGTTGAGCATATCCCGTAAATAAGG